ATGAACTTTTCATCAGTATAATTGATGAAATAATGTCTTTTTTGATTATTTTTCTATGTTTTATATCATTATGTTATTTTTTAAAATTTCTCAATAATATTTTTGTGAATATTATAATTTTTTCTAGTATTTTATTTTCTATTACGTATCGATATTATTTTTATTTTTTGTTGTATTTTTTAAATTTTCTTTCTTTTGTATTTTATGTATTTTTGTACAATCTATCAATATTTATTGGTATTTTATATTTATATTTAGTTGATTTCCTATTTTTTTTCGTACTTTTTTTAATATGTGTCTATTATCTTTTCTCTATTGTATACGTATTTTCTTATTCTATTCTGTTTAATTTTTTTTAAATTCTTTTTCACATGTTTACTGATTCAGTTTTATATGCACATATTTTTTCTCCGTATTTTATTTTCTATTTGTTTCGTTTTTTCTTAGTATTTTCAATTTTTTCTGTTAATATTTTCTTTTCTTCAATTTTTATATTTTATTTTATTTTTATTTTTGTTATTAGGCTGTTTGCTGTTTATTTTGATTAAACCTCATTTTTAATAATTCTACTTTTTTTTATTTTTTTAAATTTTTTCTTGAAAATAAAACTGAAAATTTTTACTCAAAAACAAATTTCTTAGTTGGCATTCACAGCAAGGCAGGAGGAAAAGGCTTTGATTTGACGTTGGAAAATGATTGGAATGCAAATGTTCCTAAAGACACAGAATAAACACTGATATCGAAAAAAAAATCTTATTAAGATGTCAGCTTGTTATATAAATGAGCTTCTACTTGGAAACAGAGTTCAGAAATAGACTTTTTCTTTTAAAATATAAATATTTTATCAAAGAGATATTCATTTTAGTTCGAACTTGGACTTATTTCTCGTAATTATAAAATCTGTCTATGAAGACAATTTTCTTTAGTAAAATACTCAAAAATTCGAAAGTAAATAACGAAGAAAGCTTTTCAATATTCATCATAATTTTAGTTTTAGTTTCAATCGAATCACACTGTCTATGATTATTCACGAGACTTCAAAATTCTATGTTGAAATAAACACCCAAAATAACATTTGGTAACGCCAACAGGATTAAGGACATAGGATTTTCCTATCTTTTTGAAACTGCACGAGCCTCTCGTTTATCGGCATTCTCTCTTGTTTGTGGCTTCGGTGGTATTGCTTTTAGAAATTTTTGTTAAAAAAGGATTTGTTGTGCGATTGAGTCAATTTAGCAAACAATCAAGCATCTGATTTGTCTATCGAAATAGAATGAGTTCGGCTTCTGCACATGAATGGAAATGAATCGTTCTGTTATGCTAATCAAAAGAATTTTTTCTTCTTTGCCACATCATGATGTAAGTATCGATGCACTACAACCAGCAATACTAAAAAGAGGACTTGTCAATGACGAAGACTGTGATAATTGGAGTCTGCAATAATACTACTGGTTCATCGCTCAAAATAAGCCAAACGAAATTTGAATCAAATACATGCACTTCTAAAGGTTCATATTCATTCTTTTATTTAACAAAAACCCATCTTAAAAACTATGATTACAAAAGAAAACAATAATCATTTTCGACGACGCATATTCTAAAACAAAAAACAAAAGAAATAAATCATATTTATCAAAATCTTTTTACGTCTCGTTTTTTTCATTATTTTACTCTAGGGTTTCCCTTTATATTTCCTGTTAATTTAATTTACGAGTAAAATAAATCATCGGTAGTTTTTTATTTACAATAAATAAGAAGCTCTGATGATTTTTATTCTCTTTTATATTTTTTTTATAAGTTAAATATAAATATTATAAATTTTAATAAACTTCATCTATTTTAAACATAAATAATGTTCAATTAATTTACATTGTATTCGATTATAAATGAGATTAAAGTATTCTATTTCGTACTGATATTGAAAATCACTGCCGAAAAAAATCGAAAAAACTCCTAAAACGGATGGAAGTTCTAACCAAAAGTAAACGCATAAAAATGGACATGTGAACTCGTTCAGATTAAGTGAATTTTCGAAGGAGTAGTCAAACTGTTGTTCAGAAACATCAGCGTGTTTTGAATAAGTTCAGCTATGCATTTTAGACAAACCAATTTTTGTTAGAATTTCAACTACTTTTTTCGTTTTCCGTCTAATTGACATAAAATGATAAAAGGGAATAAAATAGTTTGATTTCATTTATTATTTCCTACATTGTAAATTTATTGGAAACTATATATATGTAAAGTATAGTATAACTTGCCATAATTTCTAATTTTAGTTAGATATAAATTATGATAAACAAATATTTATTTTTCTCATCGATATGAATTACTGGTAATTTACAAATTTTATAGCAAAAGAAAAATAACGCCCATACTTCACTTACATTTTTTTCGATTGACCCGATCTTTTCAGACCTTTGTTCGAGTTAAAACGGCCCCTAAAACATAAAATAATTCACATCATCCAACTTTCGTTTTGACTTACGGCTTTCTTGATTTGTATTTTACGAGTTCAGCACTTAATTTTGCTTCTAAATCAGATTGTACTTCATCTCTATCACGTATCATGTTGTTCAGCTTTTTGTTCAACTTGTTGACTTCCCGTGTCAGCTTTTCAACTTGTTTGTTCCATTCACTAAGAATTTTGTTATGTTGATCTCGCATTTTCACGATATGATCCGGTTTAGCTTCGTCCCGGATTCCATCATAATCATCAACGTCGTTATGATCATTATCGCCATTATTAGCATTCTCATTATTAGCACCACTACGATTAGCATTTTGATAATCATCATCACCATCAGCATTCTCATAATTATCTGCAGCAACATGTTGATTGTTATCCTACAATTTAAAAATTCATCTAAGTCGCGGCATTTCCAAGAGGACTTACTCGAATAAAAGCATTATTCACAATTGCAGTTGTGGTTGCTCTTATTAAAGGTAACAATGGTGGTGATGGAGAATCAGGACACAATATTGGAGATTGCTCAATTTGTAATCTAAATAGTTGTAAAAAAAGTATTGGCTTTTATAAAAAGATCCGTCTAATAGTCTAATTCGTATCTCTGTTTTTATGGCAATTTAGAATATTAATTATTTTCTTTTCAAAACGTATGCCTACAAATATTTCTTACCATATCTTTCATTCATTTTAAATGCAGCTTATACAAGATTTAATTTGCTTCAAATGTAAATTGTTTTCTTTCAACTTATAATTTATTCGATTCTCAAACCTATTTTTTCCTAATGGTTCACGTGAGTGACATGCACAGGAGAAACATAACGGCTGGAAACAAGAAACTTCAACGAAAATGAATTCATAATGCCGAGAAATTTCGCAATAAATATACATAAATTTAAAAGTCTACTACTTTATGAACACATACAGATGCATTCACTACAGTCTTTTTCTTTTCAATTTTAAAACATTTTAATGTATTGCTTTCTTTGTTCGTCTCATTGGTATCAAATATCAACAACAAATACACCTAACTTTATTTACAATTTAAATAATTCAGAATTGAATCAATATAATTTATTTGTAAAGTGAATTAAATCTTTCATGACTTAGTTTTAAAATAAATAGCTTATAGTCTTTCAGATTCGATGTCATATATGCATTCGAAAAAAAATTCCATCTATTTTGATTTAAATTTATCGATGACTTCATTTTCTGATTGATGATACTGTAAATATGTAGAACTCGTCACCCATAAGCACTAATAGAAATGATAAAGATAAAAACCTACTTTTCAAAATTATCAACAAATTCTTCAGCATTTACATAAGGTGATTGTCCAGCTTGAACTTGTGGAGGTGCTAAAATTAAATAAATGTCAATAATCTTTTCGATGAAAACTCCAATTTAAACGGGTGTGCGTGGGTGGGTGTGGGTGTGAGTGTGGGGTGCCGGTGTGGATCTTCTCTTCATTCACACCCACACTCACACCCACCCACACCCACACTCACAGCCACAGCCACACCCACACCGACACCCACACCCACACCGACACCCACACCCACACCGACACCCACACCCACCCCACCCTATTAATGAACACTTAGAATAAAATTATGAAATACAAAACCCTTAAAACAGCTTCATATACCCTTTTTAGATTCATATACCCTTACGATCACAAACCCTTCGGCTCATGTACCCTTCAAAGGGTATATGTCGTGCGCATAAACCCTTCAAGGATTTATAGAAAAAAATCAAGGGCAAGCATTGATTAATCTGCCCTTTGTTTTTCACAGTGTCGTCTTGTTCAAGAAATTTTTGCTACCAAAGATCATTTGTACAAAATTCTGAAAACGTCTTTCTACATATTGTGATCTGCTCTTTCAAATAAGACTAGTCTTGATTAATTCTACGACGCTGATTTGACCAATTGGTCCTATACACTGAGATCCTGTTGTTTGAAAATGACATATAGTATAAAGCAAATATTATCTTATGATAAGATACTTTTGATACCATCAAAAGATAACCCGATGGTCAATAGTATATATGGTAAAAAAATCTCGATTATACCTTTTGTCGTTCTTTACAAAATGAAAGTTTACTGAAACATTTTGCGCTGAAAGGTACTTCAAAAGTAGTCTACCTCCTCATACTTGCAACGTCTATATTTTCAGATTGGCTATTCCGTTTGAGCTGAAATTTTCAGTTTCTTCCTAACTTTGTTAGACCTACTTACTACAAAAATACCAGTCAAATCGGTGAGATCGATTGAGCAAGGGTAGGCGTGGCTTACGTGCAATGCCTCTTAGGGTGAGTGTATGTGTGCTTGAAGGGAAGACTAATACACCCACACCCACACCCTGCAAAATTCTACCTTATATACTTCAGCGCTCCTCTCAGATCGTGTTTCACAAAATATCAATTTCGATAGCTTTGAGAGAACACATTCAAGAATGCAAAGATAAAAGAAACTATTCTATTCAATATTGTTCAACGCTAAAATGAGGTTATGTCTCGAGATATCTTTGTTTTTTCAAAAGCCAATTATTTTCTGTAGTCGAATTAGTTTTATAAAAAGTCGGCCATTCGATCAACAATAATAGACATCGATGTAGGTCTGAACTAAAGCAGTAACATAATTCGACTTTATTTTCATTTAGCTTTAAAAGTCTGCATGCACAGAGTAACAGTCCAATTACTATTATGTACAAAAATGCTGCGTGCACAACGCATATGTCTAATATTGTTTGCATGGATATCTTGGTAAGCGAACGGAAATATGAACTGAAACTGACGCCTAGATTTAGAATCGCATGATAATCGAATTTTGGTATCAGAATTAGTGATTATTTTTTAAGCTTATTAATTTTCAAAGATACGTGTTTAGGCATTCCTTTACTCTAAAACTGAAAACCTGTAAATAATGTATATGTTTTTCTTTTTAATTGCTCTTTTTATTCTCTGAATATATCATCCAAATGGATTGTTTTGAAATTAATAGAAAATAATACATTAGTCAAATGTAATGCAAACATTCAAATGTAGGTATCTTTGGCACCTATAGAAAGGCATACAAACGTATGTATCGTACTGCAAGAGGAAGGAAAATAGAAACAACTCTATAAAGAAATTATTTTTTGTCTGAGGGAGACTTTGAGCAAGAATTAAGTTTTTGTTTTCTTCGACTGCATATACAAATATCATGACATAGTCCATCTTAACTTTATCAAGTCAATATCATTCTTTTTTGAATAGTTTCGATTATATATAGAAATGCTCATGTATCTGAGATGTTCAATTTGATCAATATTGTTTTAAACGTAGTTACTATTTGATGAAAGGCATAGGTTATTCATTTCTTGTCAATCAAAACAGAATCGTATTCATGAATTCAAAATTTTATATTTTGCATTAGAGATGTAAAATGTTTCAATAAGAATTCATGTATTGATATATGTCTCATTTGTAAGAATCGAATATTGCTTGATTATATGACAAATAGGATTTGAAATCTTGAAATAAATACCAATTGAAACTGGCTTTGTTTTACTAACAGCTAACATCTTGAGTAAAATTGATTTTCACCTTTGCAAATATAATAAGAAATTGACTTATAAACCATCTTATGAGATAAATTTATCAAATTGTTTTAATATTGATAAAGCTCCTCGTATAAAATAAGCAGCAATAGCTATTTCTTTATCGATTTCTATTTGATTGCCAGTTGCAAGTGCATCACCAATAGTTGGCAAACCAGCAGCATCATATTTATCACCTTTAGCTGGTGCATAAATGATGTGTCTTTTATATAGAAATGAAAATAAGAATAAAGAGTAGATAAAAAAAATATCGTTTCTTACTTATAATCAGTGTAATCTGTGCCTCGTCCTAATGGATTTAAAAAAGCTCGTTCCAGTTGTAACAACTGATCATTATATGCCCGAATCTCATATGGACTAAAAGTAAAAAAAAGGTGTTTAAATTTTTACTTACGAGAAAATCGATCAGGGGCGCTCTTCTGATTTCAAAGTTTTTTTTGCTTATCGATAGTACATACTGATCTAATAAAAAGTCTAAGAGGATTTGGCTAGATTATCAAATTTGAAAGATATAGAAATTCTAGTGAATCCTTTAGGACCACAAGCTTCGTCAAACATTGAATCTTTGAACTTTCATCTGAAAATTTCTGCATATATAAACCCTTAACTGAACTAGCTCCCAAAATGAAATTTCATAATTATCCAATAGAGTCGTTCAGGAATAAAGAGCTTTTGAAAATAAACCATTACTTCTATACACTGTGTAGAACATGCATATTTTCGAAGTTATGTATTTCGAAAAGGCTTCCTTCAAAGTTTGTAAATTAGTTTATAGAAGGTAGTTTTCTTTAGCACTCTCCATGCACAACAAGTTTATAAGTAAAAATTTGAAGATCTAACTTTTCGGAACAACGGACATCTTAAGAGAACACCCCCGAGCCCACCGAGCACCGATCGAGCGATTGAAGCACTCGTCAAAATTTAGATTTTTGATTTGATATTCTCATCTTATTCAACATCATCTAAAACCTCTAGATTCAAATTTTTAGCGTATTTAGTTCAGCTGATGAAAAGTTAGCCCGATTCGACTTTTTAGCACTGACAAGGTTATTTGCAAAATATTGTCAAAAATTGTACCTAAAATGTTGAGTCTTTTCGCATAACAATAAATTAATGAAATTATTAATGTAATATACCAGAAAATAGTGCATTGAAAGCTGAACAAAACCAGCTATTTACGAATTATATTTCAATGTGCCGATAGAAAGTTATTTCTCAAATACTGTCTAAGATTGACAATTTTTTGAGTGAAAAATATGTCAACTGCTTTCAATATATTAGCTACTATTTAGTGATTTTAAAAGTGCTCACGCTAAATTTAACATATGCTGTACAACTTTTTTCCCTCTGCAGAATGGTTAAAAAAAGTTAAAAACATCTTCTAATGGTGTCGAAAAATGCCTTACAATGTCGGTCAACTAGACACCATTTTAAGAAAGAAATTATTATAAATATTTTTTTCTGATGAAAAATAGAACTTTTAGTAGATTATGAAGTATCTAGATTATTATCCGCATAGATATGACATATTTCAATGAACATGTGCTCTATACAAAATAAAAAAAGTCCATCATATTTATTATTGAAATAAAAGTAATGAATTGATTTTATGTTTTTGTATGTTCATGTCAAATATAGGTCAAAAGAGAAGAAAAGGATATTAAGCGCCTGATTACACGATGAATATTCTTTTTTTATTTCTAATTTTTTTCTTCGCATATATATATGCATAGTCATACATGTGACTGCACAGTACAATTCAGTTTGAAAAAGACAGAGTGTAGGTCGGTGTGGGTGTGGGGTGTGGATGTGGATGTTGGTGCTATTCCCTCTTTTAACCACACCCCACACCCACACCCTTGTTTAGCTTTCGATGCTCTATCTTCTGGTATATTACATTAATAATTTCATTAATTTATTATCATGTGAAAATACTCAACATTTTAGGTACAATTGTTGACAATATTTTGCAAATAACCATGCCAGTGCTAAAAAGTCGAATCGGGCTAACTTTTCATCAGCTGAACTAAATACGCTAAAAAATTGGATTTAGAGGTTTTAGATGATGTTGAATAAGATGAGAATATCAAATCAAAAACCAAAATTTTGACGAGTGCTTTGATGGCTCGATCAACTCACGGTTGCTCTCTTAAAGGGTCTCTATGAAATAGAGAGGTAAAAAAACTCGATAGCCTAGCCAAATATCTATAGGAACCAAAGGCCTTTCAAGGTTTGTATTTGATCAGTATTTAGTATCTATAGACAAAAAAACGATTGAAGTCGGACGTAATATATGACGAGGTTCCCTCGTCAGGTAGTAACAACTAACTTTTCAACGTTCAATGATTTTGAACGAATCTCAAAATCTTTTGCTGCTATTTCAAAATCATTAATCGCTTCTCGAAGTATCTCTAAAATAATGTTTTATAAGAAGAAAAATCAAACAAAACATTTCATTAATACGAAAGTTTGTAGTATTCTGTTGCATATTCTTCATTATTTGCTTGAGTGCAATCGTGTAACGTGTAACATTCAATGGTAAAATATTGTTTTCGGAAAGAAACAATCCTAAAACGCCTACAAATCGACCGATTGTTCTATGTGCCTGAATAAAGATCATCATCAATAATTAAAACAAAGACTCCTAATTATAATTGATTTACTGCAAAATGTGGATCAACAAATTTTTTCACCATAGAAAATGTTTCATAAGATGTATGATAAAGTGGATACAAGCTAATATTTCCGTGATCAGTCGGATTAAATTGATATACTACATCAAAATTTGATGATCCAACTAATTGATCGAATCCATAATAATCACTAGCCGATCCCAAACCATACTGAATTCTGTACAGTCAAAGAAACGTGTGAAATGAGAGAAAGGTTGTATTCGATATACTTTGGTTCTTTGGTTAAGTTATTCCAATGTACTTTCATCCATTTATCATAAATAGTTTGACCAGGAGGATCATATGCACTAGGAACCTTTATTATAAGCTATAGAATATTGTTACATACAAGAACATCTTCTCACCATTTTTGAAGCTTCAACAATAACATCGAACAACATAGGTGATGCTTTAGCATGAATTGTATAATTTCCTATTAGAGATTAGAACAAAAATAATTATATTTATTGAAAGACTGTTACCTCGAACAGGACCATCTATATTGAGGTAAGAAACAATACGGGCTCCTAATACTTTAACATACTCCTAAAAAATCAGTGATAAACTAAAGGGTGGTTCAAAAGTTTCGACCTCTCTGAGTAAATTGATGACATCTATGACAATCCTAAATAGAGTTGATTCATTGAAATATTTAATTTTGTAGAGAAAGATTAAAGCTACTACTTGAACAAATATTTCAAAATAAATCAATGTAGTGCGATGTTATGGTCATTTTCATTAATCTTTGGTGAATATTTTTAGTACAATTTGTCTGAAAAAACGATCCAAATGATAGATAAGTTTGTTAGATTGATGTTTTGTATGAATGTCAACAATCAAATTAGGTTATGTTTTGATCTTGGCTTTGAACTATTGCTTTTAAGATTATTAAGGTACTTATAACGATTTTCTGACATTTTTCTCAACTAAAATTTCTCTACATACCAATATTTTTTTGTTTGGCATCATGTAATGAATTCGATACATTTACTAAATTCTTGTAGAATAACGCCTCACAAGTTATCTATTAACCGTATATATTATCTATTTGATTCTAAATCACACTTAGAACTGGTAAGAAATCGATAAAATGGTCCGATCAAGCCGGTCAAAAAATCCAGCCGGACCTATCCGGCCGGTTATAAATCGCTCTTGACCCGGCAAAAATTCCGAGCTTATGGGCTTTTTTATTTCAACTGAATTTTGCAACAAAAAAACAGACCCTTCATTTTTACCAAAGACGGGGATCAAGGGGTCTTCCAAGAGAAACCTCTTTGACAACAGACTGCCCACCACCACTAGCTGCTAGCTCCAACCAAAAACACCGTCGCTCGTCTAAAATCAATTTTTCCTAAGGATGACAATCACACACTACTACAGAATATACAGAGACAACAGTTTTCTTGTCTAAGATTCACCATCTTTCTTTCCACACTATTGCAATGCACAAGAAGACATACACCCCCTATTTCTGAGAAGGGAAGTTCTACGGGGACTTGGAGGATCTTTAGAATTATTCATGAATTCATAGCTATATACCCCGTTTTTCTGAGAGTGAGGGTCTAGGCGACATGGGTGGTCTTTAGAATTATTCATATCAATGGATAGACACACCCCTTTTTGTTCCGGATGAGGGCGTCTTTTTGTATTCAAATCCAATTAATTCGAAAGTGCCTCCCCCCGTTAAGAGAAGGGAGTATACGGCTGTGAATTCATGAATAATTCGAAAGACACCTAAGCCCTCCAGCTCTCCATGTTCAAAAAAAATGTCGGTGTATATATGCATAGATGTATGTGTTGAATACTGAAGCCCCAGCCCCTGATTTCTGTTTGAAATGAAATTGATTTTTTTATTTAAAATTCAGATTGATATCATGTACCCCATAGTATGAAAATTCCGGCAAGTCGAACAACAACTGGTGACGCTGACTGCTTGAAAATCGTTCCAGAGAGCGAAAATATGGCAGGGTTGGAGCCGGTTGGAAAACGGTAAACCAGTCCGGATTGGCCGGTAGGAATTATACCTCAAACCGGTGAAAAATTGACGAAGATGTTTGAAATTCGATTATCCAAATGAACTTTCCCTCAGAAATCAAACAGTTTGTGAGCACATGTGAGAAAACATGCACAATAACAATTCTATCATATTTAATCTTAAATCAAGCGATGAAAAAAATATCGTGAACATTTACCTAATTAAGGCAATGGCACGTCTAAGAAAAAATTCAGAATTAAGTACATAAGGTTTTGCTATTGGGATTCGGATTTGTTGTTGCGCAATAATTATATAAATAGTTTGCGCTTGGATAACGGACACGCAATTATAAAATATTTGCGTGGGTTTGGTATACAACAAAATCCATCAACCAAATCCAAACCTAAGCGTTCAAACTCAAATCCAGATTCGAATCCCAAAAGTTTAGTCCCAAGTCAAAGTCCTATCCAAGATGTGTTGCATCCCTAGGAAGAATGTTCAAAACTGAACACAACTGACATGATGAACCGCTGGAAGTCTGAGAGACCTTATTAAGGGAAATATTTAGCAGTCAGATTAGAAATTTGAGGAATTCGTTTATCCCTGATTATAAAGACGCATCTTCAGTATTAAGATCTCTCAGATTCGTAGCGATTCTTCATGTGAGTTGTATACAACTTTGAACTCTCTTCTCAAATCTATTCTGAATTTTTGTTTATTACAACATAAAAGCCCGAAGGTTAGTTTTAGTTACAGAGATTGAGAGAAATTAAACACGGAACTTTGTGGTCGATTTCAGACAGATTTCGACATCTTTGCTTAGTGTTTTAAGCACTTTGACTATAACTTCGGACACCGCGAAAATAACTGATCATGACTGATGTAAAAGATCCAACCACAATGGGTCCGTATCACTTTGCCGACACGTACTTTTTGCCGACATGTACACTTTGTCGACAACTTGTTTTACAGACAAAATTTGTTAATATTAATAAGAACTGATTAATGTTTTTTTAGAAAATTCTTTATTTTCTTGAGCTTTTTAAATTCTTTTAATCAAAATTACAA